TCCTCCACCCATTTTGGATCTTTATAATGGCCACTTACAGCTTTTATCTGAGCTAGCAGGTGGAGAACTTTCTAGGTCTGCCCACAAGTCATGCTCCTTCTCACGATCACACACAGTGAGGGCAGCAAACTAACCTGTGTAGAGGGGCTGTCCTTGTTTCCAATGCCAGAAGGTGATGGTCAGACTGAAGCAACAACTTGCTTAAGGGCACATTTTTCTTGCACCACAAGCAGGGCCAGCATGTACCTACCAGTCAGGAATCTGAAGGGGCACAAGAATCTCATAACTTCAAGCTGCTTTTAGAAATATTGGTGGGTCTTCGAATAATTCCCTACTCTGATCTCCTTCCTTTTAGATTGTGATATCCTGGGTGATTGTGTGTGCTGTGTAATTCTTGGAGTAGGCCTATGTTTTTTATGGGAATACAATGGCTGGGACATTTCCTGCTTTAGTATGCCATTTGGAAACGGCTCTCCTTTCCTCTCTTGCCTGGACACGAACAAAAGACAGACTCCTTGGCAATTACAGCTCGGCCCCGAGCTTGACCCTGTAACAGAGTCAGGTGCGAGTTCGGAGTGAATTCTTTTCAAGGTTGAAAATGAAATGAAACCGAGTCTCCTTGAGTGAATACCTGGCTGAGCCTCAGAGTCTGGAGCAGAGGGGTTGTCTTAGAAAAGCAGAAGATTACATCACTTAAAACACATCTTTGCCGAAAGGGCTGGTTTCGGTTTTTTGTCATCCTGGGACTGAGCCTAGCACTTAATGCTAGGAAAGTGCTATGCCCCTGAGCTACGTTCCTCAGCCTTCCCCTTTTTAAATGGCATGTGTTTGTGTTGTTTGTGTGGTGTGTTTCTATGGTGTGTGTGTGTGTGTGTGTGTGTGTGTGTGTGTGTGTGTGTGTGTGTGCTCATACCACACTTAGAAGCAGGAGCCTGTGGAGACCTGATGTCTATGTCGGATGTTTTACACTTCATTTATTGAGTGAGGGTCTCTTACCGAACCTGGAACTCATGCATTCCAGCTAATCTCATTGGCCAGCTTGCCCCAGGGCCCCCTCTTGAGTGCTGGGATTACAAGTAGCCACAACCTCTCCCAGGCTTCCAAGTGGGTACGGGGTGACCTGACCTCTAGTCCTCATGTGTGTGTGTAAAGCAGTTTATCAGGGCTCAACTACATAGCGAGAGTCTCAAAAAGAAAAACTGAGAAACCAAGCAAGCAAACAATAACAAAAAAACCCAGCCCTTGGAGATCAGGGAACCAGGAGGAAGAGGGTGGGCAGACACTGTAAGAGTCAGAGGGGATGGAGGACAGCAGGATAACATGGACCACTGAATCAAGCCAGCAGGGCTCACCAGGGCTCCCTGGGAATGAAGCAGCAGCCACAGCATGGGGCCTGCATGGGCCTACACCAGGCCCTCCGCATATATGCATTTATGCTATGCTTTTAGCTTGGTGGCTGTGTGAGAACAAGTACTCCCCCCCCCCAGTGTGAGGACCCCACTCTAGACACAAACAAAGCCTCAGAGAATTGGCTGCCCTCTTCTGTATCCTGTGTCTCCCAGGGCCGCCTCACATCCCCATGGGCCTCTAACTTCTTTTGCAACTCTTGGCCAATGTAGCCTTTTCCTCTGTCCCCAACTCAAGCGCATTCTGAGCTAAGTCTCATCTATGGAGGGTAGATAACATTCCCTCTTCGTGGGGTACTGTTACTCTGGGCAAGGTGAGGCCCCCAGTAAACTCCTTCTATAAGAGGCCTTGGCCATGGTTTTTCATCCCAGCAACAGAAAGGTGACTAAACAGAAGGAGAAGGAGAGCAGTACAAAGTGGAGTGGGAGGAGGGACGGAGTAGAACTGGAAGGGGTGGCCACTCAGGAGAGCAGGAAGCAAGGAGAAATATCCAAGCACTGTGATGTCAGGTCCAACCTGCCACCCAAGTTCCAGACCCCGGCTCTCTGACCCTGCCTCCAGCCACTTCTTTCTCTGTCATTTGTTTTTCAATAATCTCCTTGCTGAATATCCCCCAGTGAGCAGAAGCTCTCAGTGCCTGGCAACCCCAGGGACTCTGAGAGTAAGAAGGGGTGATGTCTAAACCAGGCAAATGAAATCGCATCGTGAAGAGAGGGGCCCAGAGACTGCATTTTTTTTTTTCATAAGTATTAGGGTGGAAATTTCAAGCGCTGTAAACTTGCTTTGTTGACATGTCCTTAAACACTGATTTTGCACAGATTTTTCTAGAAAGTCCCAGACATGGGAGCTTTTAATAACGCTCGTGACTCTGATTTGATCTCAGTGCCATCATCTTTTAATATGTCATGTTTGTGAACTCAGGGTTGAGAAGTACTTAGCTAAACTCAACTTAGGGGGAGGATGACAGATCCTGTGATTTCTCTAAAGTCTGCCCAGACTATTAAGATTCAACATCCAAACTCAACTTTAGGACTAAGCAGAGCAGACAGGAGGATGGCGATAGCGGAAGAATCTCAGCTATCCTGGGATTTCAAAGGCCAAACCTGGCATAAGAAATGGTTCCATGTCAAGATGCCTTTGTTTGGTATGCAAATCCTGGGGATTATAGATTGGGTTCATGAATATAAAGGAAATGGCTTCATGAGCAATTTCAGAACTAATTTTGATACCGTTCTGCAATAACAAAACAGAGTGTACGCCAAGAGAGGAAAGTAAAACTTCTGAGCATGCCCTAATTAAGAGGAAGGCTAAGCTCAAGTGGGAAGAGATCTTCAGATTAAGCCCACACTGAAAGGTGTTCTGTCTGCTTGGGGATGTAGGATTTTCAAATCACGTTTGCTTACCTGTGCGTTGGTGTGTTTCTGAGGAAGAAGAATTCCAGCTTGAGTTTTCCTGATCTAAGCACTGAGAGCTATAATCAGGTCTAGTAAACAGCATGGAGCAGGGGTGGGGGGTGCTTAAACATTTGTGGCAGAAGTTCCCGGATGTTGAGAGAACACAGACTTCTGCTGGGCTTCACTAATATAATGCCAAGATTCTGTCCCTACTTGACTCCAGTCCCTTCCCCTCTTCAGTATCTAGACTCCTTTTAAAAGCATTCGGCTGTAGCATGTTTCTCTGGATAGCAACCTTCTGGCTTCACAGAGAACAGACATGTACCTGCTTGTAAATGTACCATCAGCCAACACAGCATGAACCCCTTTCCCCAGTCTCCCGCTGCAGGAAATTGACAATGGTCTAATTTGGGAACGTTTTTCTCTGGCTACTGAACCCTGGCTATGGTTCCTCCTGTGTTTGCCCTATGGGTTGAGAGAGTATTCCACCCAGAATCCCCTGAGCACGGGGCATTGTCAAGCTTTTGTGCCACCACGCAGAGGCTGCAGACTAAGTCCTAGAACTATAAAGGTGTCCAAGGAGCTCTTCTGAGTGCTCATGGTCTATGCTTGTAATGACAGCAACTCTAACCATAAAGTGAATCTCATGTGTATCATCGTTTAGTCATGTAACAAACCTGCCGGGCTTAGATTTGAACTTAAGGAAGAAGAGAAAAAGGGGGAGGAAGAGAAAAAGGAGGAGGAAGAGAAGAGGATGAAGACAAGGAGAAGGAAGATGAAAAAGAGGAGAGTTAGGAGGAAGAAGAGGAGCGAGAGAAGAGGATTTGAGATTTCTGCCAGTGAAGAATTCCTTTCTAAAAGTCTTGGTGGGGGGGGGGGGATGGTAAGATAGCTCAGCTGGTCACACTCCCTGCCATGAAGTCTGACAACCTGAGCTTGGTCCTCAGGATCCACATGGTGGGAGGAGAAGACAAACTCATTGTAAGTTGCCTTCTGACCTCCACACAGGCACTCACACACACACACACACACACACACACACACACACACACACACACACGTAATTGAAAATTAAATATTTACTGGGATAACGTCTTAGCATGTAGAGGCTGGTCATGAACTCCCTAGGAAGCCCAGGCTGGCTTTGAACTCTCTGTCCTCCAGTTGGGATCTCAGTGAGCTCCAAACAACCTAGGTGAATCCCAGGGTTTTCTTTGTCTCGCTGTCAGTCCCTTATCCTCCCATTAGCAGGAGAGGAAAAGAGATGGCAGTGTGTGGATGTATGCCAGAACAAGTTTTGAATGCACTTTATTTTTTTTGTCACCTACATCATAGCTGTCCCTGGGGTGGAGACAGGGACCTGCTGGGTGCTTTGTGGGGAACTCTTCAGGGACAGGCTATGATGTCCATTATGCACCAGACCGTGATGAAGTGGGTAACCATCTCTCTGAAATGTGTTGTGGGACTTGTAGTTCTGTGTCAGGTACCCTCTTCTGGTGGTGGTGTAGATGCGGATTCCCTTCTACAAGGTGGAGTATACAGGTACCTTCATGATACAGAGTGCAAAAGTGGCACTATCAATCCCTTCTGTCTCTATCACAAAGACCAAAACATCAGAAGAATATACTTTGAACACAAAGCAACTGGAGCTTCCTCAGAGAGGGCAGCTTTCTGGTCCATGGGATGCCCAAACATAGTCCAGCTGATTATATGGATGGGTAGAAGTTGGTTCTCTGGTGCTGCTGGGTCAGACTCCGTGGTGGCTGCAGGTCCTGGTTTTTTGTTTGCTTGCTTGTTTTTTGTTTTTCTGGTGTTTTGAGACAGGGTTTCTCTGTAGCTTTGGAGTCTGTCCTGGAACTCGCTCTGTAGACTAGGCTGGTCTCAAACTCACAGAGACCTACCTGTCTCTGCCTTCTGAGTGCTGGGGTTAAAGTTGTGTACCACAGCTTGGCGTAGGTCCTGGGTTTAACTGATGTCAGGCTTCTGCAGTTTCCGAAGGCTGTGGCTCTAGAACATCTCATGTTGAAAACTCCAGTTCAGCATTTATGAGGACCATGCTAGGGAAGCAGAGGTGGATGCAATGGGTCTCTGCAGTCAGCTGGGATGTGGCTATAAGCCCAGAGTCTGTTCATTACAATCCACGTTCTTTTTTGTTCATTTGTGCCCCGGGCCTCAAGCATCTGCCCTTCTCCTTTCCAGGCTGGAATCGACGGGGAAAGCATTGGCAACTGTCCTTTCTCTCAGCGTCTCTTCATGATCCTCTGGCTGAAAGGAGTCGTGTTCAATGTCACCACTGTGGATCTGAAAAGGTAAAGGACCCTATGTTCATGAGGGAACACCTAGCACACAAGGAAGAGTCAGATGGGACGAGGGATATCGGGTGCCATCCTGGGGCTCCAGGCAGCCTCTGATGGATGCCATCTCATTGCGCAGAACTGTTCCCAGAGTCCAGCCCAGGGCACAATGGAGGCTGAAAAGGCCAGGACCTTCCTTCCTCTGGGCTGTGCTTCACTACCTTGACTGGAGAGAACTGATTAGCAAGGAAAAAAAGAACACAAATGGCCACTCAACGAGTGTGTGTCTCAAAGATGGTCACAGGCATCTAAAAGCATATTTATTACAATGGCACAGACATTGCATTTGTGGTACCCTGGTGGGACTTCAGGAGTGACAATTGAGTCTTCAGGGAACTGGAATCCAGACCATTTCCGATCCTTTGTCTTCCCTCTGAGAATCCATAGTGTGAGGGTTCTGGACAGGAGAACGGCATGTAGAGGGCACTAAAAGGAAAGAAGTGGCTTGATTGGTCTGTTCACTTAAGCTTCTGAGTCTAATTTTATTCCTATTTATTTATTGTGCTGAGGCCCATACTTGGAGCCTCATGGGTACTAGTCAAGTGCTCTACCACTGAGCTGTAGCCCTGGTCCTCTGACTAGAAGTCTTAAAGCATAACAGGTGACTTACACCCCTGGGCTGGCAGTGCCCAGAAAACCTTTACCACATCCCTCTGCCCACAGTGGAAAATCACCCAAAGCTGTCATGCTCCATACTGTTTTCCCAGTGTCTCTCACTGTGTCCTATCCGCCTGGAGGCTGGCCCACCTCCGGCTGCTTTTACTCCCAGCAGCTCTTGGCTAGGGGACTTCTGTGTAAACAGGATCTTCTTACTCATCTCTTCAAAATTACAGAATACCCTGCCTCCAGGCTCAACTTAAGCCCCGATTCCTTTGTAAGGCCTCTATACCCCATCATTCTCCAGAGTGGCCTTCCTTTAAACTCACCTAGCTCCTGTTATCTGGGCTTATGCATAATCATTATTTAGCATTTCACTCAATTATACCATCTAGAGATACAGTACTTAGCAGCCACTGAGAGCTTCCCTGTGTAAAATCCTACACGATGTAATTTATAAGGGAAAGTCCGTGACTCCATATTATATCATACAAAGAAGCTGAGACGGACCCACTGAGGGGATGTGTTCCCTGTGCCCAGCCAGATACAGGAAGGGCTGCTACTAAGATCCTAGTGTCGTGTCTGTTGTTGGTTTCAGCACAATAAGGGAACATGTGTCTGCCATGCAGCCAGTGTCTACAACAACTGATAAGAGCAGACTCCAGGGCCTGGGAGAGGAGCTTGCTTCCCCAATTCTCTCCTCCAACCTCTAGATTCACCACCAGTGAAGCCTGCTGGAGGGCCCAGCTGGAGCTCAGGCTGGGGAAGGGATGCCTGTCTCTCTTTCACATTATCAGACCTGGTCCTGCCAACAGTGTCTCTGTGAGGCAGGCCTGGTGAGTAGTACAGTGCCATCTACACACACACACACACACACACTCTCTCTCTCTCTCTCTAACTTCTAAGAAAACTGACCTCTTACTCTGGCATCACCATTGATTGGCTGGGTGAGCTTGAACTTTTCTGAGCCTTAGTTTTTCCCTCCATCCAATGATGATTAAAAAGCAATGCCTTCTTTATCCACAGGAGCGCTGTTGAGGGTTTAAGGAGGTGGGCCATGGATTTATGTTTGAGATTATACTTGGCCTACTGTATGAACTTAAAAAACCTGGCAGCAATATTACATCTTAGCTATGTTCCTGGCCCCTGTCACTGTCAATCCAGGGAGCTAAAAAAAAAAAAAAAAAAAAAAAAAAAAAAAAAAAAAAGAGAGGCACATGGGATAATTCCCAAATTGGACCTGGAAATATGTAATTTCAATAATTTCAATTATAAGTGCTAATAGGAGGTCTACACAGAGAGAAGGGGTGTGACTGGCCAGCAATCTTTTGACAATGCCCAGCTAAGCTTCAGAAGCCAGAGCGGCATGTTCCCGGGGTGTCAGGATCCAGCCGTCAAAGTGTACCCAGTATCCCAGAAACAAAACCACCACCCTATCAACAGATCGCTGTATCTTTAAGCCACAGTAACTGCTCAAAAATAAAGTCAGTGAGAACTTCCTTCCTTGCCAGTGTCAGTTAAACAGGAGGAACCGGCCAAGAATGTCCTCTCTTTATGTGAAGGGAGGGACACACACAGAGTCAACAAAGGCACTAAGTAAATTAGATTTTAAAAATACTTGCAGTCTCAGTTGTCTGAGTTCCAAGTGTCGTAGAATGAGGCTGGAGAGCAGCCTGTTGGGAGTGACATGGGAGCAGCATGTCATTGAAATTCTTCATGTCCCCTCCCTTACGTCTCCTCCCTAACCGATTAGGCCAGGAATTTGTCTCATTACAGACGCCTCAGCCCCTCTTGTTGACTTCCTGCAGCGTCCTCGCCTTATATTTTCTGCTCCAATGTCCACAAGGAATGTTGCAAACTCAGAACATACAGGGCAATGGATACGGCATGTGTCCAGGGACTCCTGCCATCAGCCCCTCTCTGCTTGCTCAATACAGCCCTCTGGTTCTCCATTTCCCTTCCCTCATCCATCCTTGCTCTCACGTCTGACCACCTGGCAGGAGGCAGGGCAGAAGCTGTAACAGTCAAGCCCTCTTTGCTGCTGTCACCAGAGTCACCTCCTCAGTGGCAGCCAGTATGCTGTCCAGCCCAAACTGGGACCACACCAGGCACCTCTGAGGGCAGAGTCCAGTCACTGGACGTGTGCTCCACATTCCCTGACTCTTCTGCCTCTCTTCAGCACCTCCGTGTGCCCACAGCGTGTGGTGGAGGTGGTGGGTTTGCTGACACTTGATGGATTATGAACGTGAGCAGGCCTTCTTTCCTCTGTGTTCTGGTATTGGGGAAGGGGATGAGCCCACAGCTTCACACATACTAGGCAAGTTCTTGACTGTGTCCCCAGCTCGCTCTTTGCTTTCTGCTTTGATGCAGCATCTTGCTACGTTGTACAGGCTAAACTTTGAATTCACTTTGGAGCTTAGGCAGGCCTCGAACTTGAGGACTTCCTGCATCAGCTCACCCATCTAGGTGGGGTGATGGGTCTGTGTTCTCTCTTCTGAGGGACCGTGTCAGCTAAATACCCTTAGTGTCTTCCTTGTCCCAGGGAAACTGGTGACTAAAGGAACCAGCTTTCCTAAACATACGCTGCACTTACTCTAGTCCTGTTAGGAAAATGAAGCTGTAATTCTTTGGAAATTGATCATTTGTAATCTGAGCTAGCCCCTAAATGCTCCAAGGAATTTGTTTTCAAATATTCCATTTCTGACTTGGGAGATTGTAAATTTACATATATTAGACAGAATTTTTAAAATACTCCACAGAACTACTAATTTCTAGTGAGATTAAAATCACAGTAGTCGTCTTTTAAATTTAAATTGTGTTCAATTTAAGATTAAAAGCAATAAAGGTGAACTATGGTGGATTATTAACAGGATAGATACCTCTTACCATTCAGTGGAAAGCTCAGTAATTAGGCTGGAGTTTTTATCAACATCAGGTCAACTTTTGACCTCTAATTTCCCCACTAAAATCATTCCGTTTTTAGTTTTAAATTTGATTTTATATGTATGGGTGCTTCACCTCCCTGTGCGGCTGCTCACCTTGTATGTGCAGTACCTGAAGAGGCCAGAAAAGGGCCTCTGTTCATCTGGGACTAGAATCATAGGCAGTTGTAAGTTGTTAACTGCCACGTGGGTATTGGGAACTGAACCCATGTCTTCTGGAAGAGTGGCCAATGCTCTCAACTTCAGAGCCATCTCTTCAGCCCCCAAATCCATCCTTTCTAAATTAAGATGTATATTTGGTTTATGGAGTCATTTGAAATACCTAACTGCTATGAACTTGTGCATGCCCGGCACAGTGCTAAGATTTTCCCTCCAATCCTGTGCCAAAAAACGTTCCTCAGATAATTAGTTATCTTCTTACCTACAACAGCGGGGGGCTCTGCTTGTTTGATGGATGAATTTTTGAGACAATGTTCTCTTCTGTAGCCCAAGCTGGCTTTGGGATTATAGCAATCCTCTTGCTCCAGCCTCCCAAGAGCTGGGAGTGGACAGAAGTGGATAGACCTTCTTGCCCAGCTCATAATTCTTTATGTAGAGTCCTTGGCTACAGTCTACCCAATGTTTCCTGACCTGTAAACTGAGTGCAGGTCTGTTGAACCTAATCCCATGAGTTTTCACTAGGACCCAATGTGAAGCTGATCGATACAAAGCTCTTTGAACACACATTTAATAGTCTTGTTTTTCAACTAATATTTCTTTCTCAATGATCCCCCACACCGGGGGCTATTTAGAGATAGAAAAAGTATCCTTCGAAGTCTAGGAAGATACTGGCCAACGTCAGATGTTAATTGCTACTTATTAAAATTACGTTACTCATAATGGGAACATATGAACTTGAGTCTGTGGCCCAAATCCGGCTCTTACACACATATAGCTTTTGTATTCAGAGATATTTCTTAGGTTAAAAGTAGGATGCAACATCTTCTTTATTTCCTGTGGAGTGCTGGGGCGGGGGGGCATGGGAGGGAAGGAGAAAGGAAGGGCAGGAGGGAGAGGGAACTGGGATCAAGATGTAAAATAAGAAAAAAAAAAAGTAGAATGCAATGTGTTAAGTTTTTGTCTGTGGAGGCCACAATAGGTATGAGATCTCCTGGAGCTGGACTTAGCAACAGTTATGATCTTCCTAATATGAGTGCTGGGAGCGGAACCCAGGTCCTCTGGATAGCCAGATGTGTCCTTAACCACTGAGCCATCTCTTCAATCCCAGTGTGTTAATTTGTCAAGCCTGGAATTGTTTCGTTCGGCTAATTAGTGGAGCAGCATTTGGAAGCACAGCCCTTCACAGTTAAAGCCAGGAGCTAATTTAGACAGTCACCATGATGCACTCCAGATTTTCCCAGTTGTGTTCAGCTTCATCTTGTGAGGTCCCTCTGCCGTTTCCTTCCTCTGGATGAGTTTCCTGTGTCTCATCATAGGCCTGCAAAGATCTATTCAGTGTTTACTGCCTTACACCCCGTACCACAAATCTGGTTATGCTGCAGGCATGCTGTTTAGCACCAGACTGGAGTTAAGGTTAGAGGCTTCTCAGAACAGGAGGGCCCTGACTCCCACCATCACCTGAATCTCCCTTTCTCCACAGAAAGCCAGCGGACCTGCACAACCTCGCTCCTGGCGCGCACCCACCCTTCCTGACCTTCAACGGGGATGTGAAGACTGATGTCAACAAGATAGAGGAGTTCCTGGAGGAGACCTTAACCCCTGAGAAGTAATGAACTGCTTCTTTGCAGAGCTATGGAAAGGGAGAGGGGTAGCTGTGGGCTCGCAGATTCCCAAGGGGGCTGCTTCACTTTGGAGCAGGGGCCTCCACTGTTCAGCCAGTCTCAAAGTGGGTCCACTAAGGCCAGTTGCGGGGAAGTATTGCCAGTCAGTCCATTCCTACACAGAGTGGCTTTAGGGGCCCTGGGGAGATCATTAACCCTTCCCCACCCATCCAGGCTTGTTTCCCTGACTTGGGTTCACTGTACCTGGAAAAGCTGAGATGGGCAGACTCGCTTATCTTCAGAGGTGAGATGATGTATGGACGATAAAGCAGGAAAGGGACAGCCGGTGAGGGAAACTGCACCGGGAGTCCTAAGTCTGACCAAGTCACAGGCAGACAGATACTGACTGGACTGGCAGGGGCTGTAGTCCTCACTCACAGTAGGAGGGGTACATTCGCAGCTGCTGATAACGAGAGGAGAGACATAGTCTAAAAGAGAGCAGAGCCTAGGCTCATTCATCCTAGACTGCTCTAGTTGGAGCTTAAAGCAATCATACCTCATTGTTAGACCAGAAGTCTGGCACTGCTTACAGATACTTAGGGTAGCCAAGGAAAGATTTTCAGCAAACACCTTGGAGAGCTGCCTGTAAGTCTTACCCTAGGGGCTGGGAAAGAAAGTGGTGCAAAGTGTTAGAATGTGGCTCCACTGATGGGGTGTTTATCTGGCATGTGCGAAGTCCCAAGTTCAATGCCTAGCTACAGGGAAGCCAAGCATGTTGGCACATGCCTGCATTCTCAGCACTTTGGAGTGAGAGTCAAGGAGATCTGAACTGATTTACAGAGCGCAGGAAGTTCAAGGCTAGCTGGGGTTCATGAGATCTTGTCTAAAACAAAACATTGATAACAAACGGGCTGTAGGTTTGGAATCAGGTAGAGGGAGCTAACCGGTGGTGGTTCAGGCAAGTCAGAAGGAAGGCTCAGCTGGGGGAGAGGAGCAAGGAGACTAGGCAAGGAGGGGCAGTTACACAACCAATCACCCTCTTGTGTTTACCTGACATCATATGTATTTCCCATGTTGTGCCAGCCACTGAACTCCCCAAGTCATATCATCCTCTCATCAGCCCCAGGATCTGGGAGAAGGGGCTCTCCTTACCCTCATTTTTATAGTCCAGCATGATGGGATAGCCCAAGGCAACCAATGATGCCTTGCTGTTGGAAAATTAATAACCCCTGTTGTGCTCTGATGAAGCAAGGTCACAGTCTCTTGTAAGGACATCCTTTGTCACCACAGTCAGGAACAGTTCATTTTCACACCGAGGGGGAAGCTGCCTGCAGCCCATTGGAAGCGGCTGGGCATAGACTTTCAAAAAGGGCATTAGTTCAACCAACAACACAGCCACACACAGCACCCAGCAGGCCACAGCCAGAAGCCACAGATGTCTTTGGACAGAACATCAGCCAGCTATTAGGATGGATGTGTCCTGAATGGGCTGGCTCCTCTTTCTTGCTCCTCTGGGACTCAACCTAACTTGTTGCTTACACTACATGCACATCCTTCCTACATGAATAACTAACTGTCTTCAGTAACTCAAGTGGAGTCCAGACGTCGCTGGGTGAGGTTAATATTGTCTGCTTGGAACAAATCCTTCCATGCAGGAATGTGTACTTCCACCCAGGCTGGCAAGGGCGACAGGAAAGCACAAGACGTGTCCCCATGGTCTTCGGTCAAGCTGATAGGTGGGATATGCTGCTTGCTCTGCCAGAGGACATATGCATCCACTTGACTGACCCCCCCCCCCCCGCTCTTGGCTTCAGGCCTCTTCTGTGAAAGAACATGTCCCCTCCCAGACAGTTTGCTGTCCTGGTTTTTCATAGTCAGGTTAGCCAGGACCTGGCTCTCACCACCTCAGTCAATGTAAGTGGCACAAGGACCCTGGGATTTATATTATTTCACTTTCTCGAACATTCTGCCTGAAGGAGGTCATTATCAGATTCCTTGCCTTTTTTTTTTTTTTTTTTTTTTTTTTTTAATCCGGATGTCAAGTTTCCATAGTCCTAGCAGTACCTAGCAGTGTTGGGCAGGGACATTCTAGCTTCTCCTTGCTGCTCACCGGTGCTATGGGTGCTAAGCATGCTGTCTTCTCTGAACTTAGGTTAAGAGGAGATGTGATGAAGAACATCCCTGCCTGCCTGTCTAGGTATAGGTCTTGGAAGTGGTTAAATGAATACCTTCAAAGGCCTCCTAAGGCCTCCTAAGGACCTTCATGACAGATCAGCTGCTCAGGATGTCGTTCACAGAGTGTTCCTTAAAGGCCTCTGTGCTATCAGGTTGGGGCAGGTGCTGCAGTTACAGGTAGTAACTATCAACAAGCCAATTCTTCAGTTCTAAGCCCAGAATCCTGCCAGGTTGCCCTCAAGCCACCAGCATAGCCAACCCCCCACTAACTTGGGCAGGAAGGTGGGGTGGTTTGCATCCAGAGACCCATGGAGTCATGTTGCCTGGCTGTCTTCTTCTCCAGGGGGCAGTAAAACTCCCTCTTTCCTGATGCTGCGAAGCCATGTGTTTCTTATCATGCTGCTGCCTGTGAAAACTGCCAGAGAGCTAAGACTTTTCTCCCCTAGTTTTGTTTTTTAAAGGAGAGGAAATCACATACAAATATCCCACTTAAAAAAAAAAAAATTACACTTGGTTCCACAGAGCATTTGGCGTCATGGTGAAGAATCATAGTTTCTAAATGAGATTGACATCCCTCCTTTCTGTGAACCGACCCAGTTAATGCTCAGGATAAAAGTATAGCCATTCAGGTAGAGTTATTGTTAAGACATGCCTGGCTTTGTGATCCCCACCATGGCCAGAATTTCTAGGGTTCAGAACTGAGAGGCACGGCTCCCTAGAAACCAATTGCACATCCTGTATGGCTTTAGGCATGACTCCCTCCTTGTGTGATAACCTTGAAAATGAAGGGGAGGGGATGGGGATGAAGGGGAACGTGAGATGGCTCAGCACTTAGTGCTTGCCTTGCAAGCACGAAGACAAGAGTTGAGAAGCTCACTTCACTGCCTGGCAGGTATAGCTGGCTGCCCGTAATTCTGTCCATGGGAAGCAGAGGCAGGGGATTCCCCCAGAGCAAGCTGGCTCCTTACATTAGCCACACTGAGGCGCTCTGGGTTTGATTGAGAAACCCTGTCTCAACAAATGATAATAAAATGGAAATGCTGTGTAATCACACATATCCCTACACACATGTGCACGCGCACGCACACACACAAACACACACACACATACACACCACACATGTCACACATGAAAACATGAATATACACAAACACATACCCACACACACCAACAAACATATACATGCCACACATAAAAACACTAATATACACATGCAAATCACACACACACACAGACAATTAAAGAAGGAAAAAGACAACTGGTTACATGGTGTGCCATGCCATTAGTTACCTGGTTACATGGTGTGCCATGCCATTAGTTACCTGGTTACATGGTGTGCCATGCCATTAGTTACCTGGTTACATGGTGTGCCATGCCATGAGCTATCTGGTTACATGGTGTGCAATGCCATCAGTCAGGAGGCAGGCATGCACTGGGTGTTTTGCAAGGCTTAGAGTCAAGGCACTGTGAGTGCATTGCTTTATTGAAACGTACATAGGTCTCTTGCAGCAGTGGAGCAGAATCACATGCTCCCGTTTCCCCTGAGAGGCAGAGGCGCAGCTTCGGAAGCTCCCACAGGACACCGCATGTGTGAATGTGGGTTCTGGAGCCTGTGACATGGTTTCAGGTCTGATGCTCTCATGTAGCAAAGTGAGGTAAAGTGGCTCAGTAGGACAAGGGCACCTGCCACTTAGGCAGGGTCTCGGTGGATGGTGTGGCTCTCTTTCACACTGTAGTATATCTACGTGGCTTCCAAGGTGTCTCCAGCAGAGGAAAGCAAAAAGAGGGCATACATACTGACTCCAAGGCCCAGAGCCATCAGGAGTTACATCACCCCACCCTGCCCCATTCCATTGGCTAGAATCTAGTCACATGACCACAGTGAAACTGGCTGGGAAATGTGGAAAAGCCCGTGGGTATTTAGTAAGTAAGCACAAAACAGACAGAAAAACACTTCTGTAATTTTGATTCTAATTGTGATATTTTGCAAAGCAAGAGGAACAAGGTGGTAAGGCACCACCTTGGTAAACCAATGGGTTTATTAGGGCTACTTACAGGGGCGGGGGCAACTCAAAGGCAAGCCCAGCATGGTAATTACACATGAAGTCACTGCTGGGTGACCACTGCACCCCTGGAACTCCTGTACAACTGGAAGCCAGCTCCACTGAGGGGTGCCCCTTCTCCAGGTAGCTGAGAACCGGCCCTATACAATCCTGAGGACTTCTCCATCCAAGGGCAGCATCTCTGACATTAAATCTGCCATGGCCCCAAGAGCAGGACAGTCCCACTTACTGAGGTCATTGAAGAACAAAGAAATGACAGGATGATGACAAATGATTTGTGTGTGAGAGAGAGACTGCGTGCGCGTGTGCGCATGCGTGCACACACACGCATGCAGGTATATGCACATGTGTGCACATGTATACTTGGAGGCCAAGGTCAACTTCAGTGTCATTCCTCCTAGATCTCTCACTGACCTAAAAATTCACCAATTAGTCTAGTCTAGCTGGGCAGAAAACACCACCTCTCCAGCACTGGGATAACAAACATGTTACCACCCTCATCTCTTTACATACCTTCTGGGAGTCAAATTCAAGCCTTTATGGCGCTGTCTTTAGTGACTGAACTATCTCTCCAACCCCACAGCCAATGATTTTAAAGATGCCTTTGGCTGAAAACAAAAAATCTGAAGCAACTGGAAAAAAACATGAAGCAACCAGATCACAAAGACCCATGCTTCTTGTTAATGATAAATGGCCACTTGCCTCCATCTCTACCCACTTCTGCCTGGCCATGTACATAATGACTTTGTGAAGAGAATGGCTTGGTTTTATCTATCTGTTTTATTTACTAACAATGAAGATCACTCATATGATGATGGTGTTGGGTTAAATCCAAAGATTCCCACATATGTGAGCTTACCTCCTCATTCAGTCTCAATGCCATGGATTCTAAATCTGGCCCATCTCTTGTATTTTTTTTTTTAACTTCAAAATGAGACACAGTGTAAGGATGGAATGGGTATCATTGTAAATTTCCCTCCACACTTGGAAATACAAGTGATACAAAACACATGACATTTGGGTGGAGCTGGATTAAGTTACTGCCGCACGCATGTACTAAGCACTAGAATGGCATTTTAGAAGCACACAGGGGCACTCTACCTTTGGAGACATGAGTTAGGCACCCACTGGCTCTGGACAGCTAGGATTGTGGTGGCTGGCCTTCCAGTAAGTAGATGTATTTTCATGACCCTGTGTCACTGTGGACCATTGGTGCTGGTTCCAGGAACAGGCCTATGGATGGCATTCTGGTTCCTTGCCCAACATGCTGAGTCACTCTGGTTGAGTTTCTCAGTACCTCACCGGCCTCTGATTTCCTTTATTATGATTGAGGGCCGAGCGCCCATCCTTCCTGTAGGATGACTCCAAAATCCCAGAAGATGGTAGCTTCAGCCAGGAAAGAGAATGCTGCCTCCTGAAAGGCAAACAGGTTTGTCCCTAGAGATCCCTGTTTTCACAGTTTCATAGAACATCCTACCTTCCATTGCAGGTACCCCAAGCTGGCTGCAAAACACCGGGAGTCTAATACCGCAGGCATTGACATCTTCTCCAAATTCTCAGCCTACATCAAAAACACCAAGCAGCAGAACAATGCAGGTGAGTGACCCTCCTATGAACACCAGGCCAGGGCCTGCTTCATGCCAAGTGATGCATTTGTGGTTTGCCCGTGGTCACTTCAGACCTCCAAGCCAGAGAAGCTTGTTATTTTTTCATCCTCCTGACTCAGAAGGGAGGGCACAGAACCTGCTGCCTGCAGTGTAGGAGAAAATGACTCAGAAGTGGGGTGTAGCTTGCTTTGGAAAACTACCTTATTGCACAGCAGAAGGCATGGCATGGAAGGGTTCTTGGTGCTATGCATTGAACCCAGACAGATAACTCCATCTGTGTTCACAATGGGGCACAACTTCTTACTTCTTTGTAGTCCTGGAAAGGTTTTTCTGCGGCTGACAGGAAGCATGAGGGGCAATGAGGGTCAAAATTTGGTGAATTCTACAGACCTAATTCTCTTCACCATGAGTGTGTGTGTGTGTGTGGGGGTCTCGGGAAGGGCTCTGAAAGTTAGGCTCCCTCCTCCACACAGCCCTTTCTTCCTGGCATTGGCTGCAGACCTAGGATTCACTTCTCCCATAATGCCCTATCGGAGGGGTCTGAGTGCACTCCACTTAAGCGCCTGGGAATTTCTGTCCTCATTCAGCATCCTCCTTTAAAGATTTGCTGAGGCACCTGAGTCTGAATGGGGGTGTGTGGGACCTGAAGAGTGGCTTCCAGACCCTCAAAGCAAAGTGGTGAAGGAGACAGAGAAAGGATGAGTTAGATTCCTGGGGGCCAGTACCAAAGCAAGCAAAGGAAATACCGTATGAATGAAGCAGGCAGTGATGCACAGTGGACATCACAGGAAGATACCAGGTCCTCTTGGAGTTCAGATCAGGTGATGTCTCAGAGTACTAGTGAGAACAGACCCAGCATAGTAGCAAGGGGGTACACCTACCGCAGCTACTGGGACCCCGAGGTCCATAGAGATTGACACAGGATGGGAAGACCGTGAGGAAGGCAAGCCAAGGAAGGATCAATTGGTTCACAGTTTGAGAACAGTCCACCATGGCAGAGAGACAAGATTGTCAGGTAGATCACTTTGTGCCCATAGTCTTCTGCGTCTGTTGGTGTAGGAGGAAGGCTCCAAGTCACACATAGTCCAGTTAGAAGAGAGGAGGCATAGTCTGGTTTAAAGGGAACACAAAGAGCTGGTTAATGGGCTAGCAAAAGGAAAAGCAACTTCCACGAAGGTACCTGAAGTAGGAGTCATACTCTGAGCTAAGGCTGCAATGTGCAGGTCGGGAAGATGGGGAAAGGCTAAGGCCAGAGGTCGAGAAGAGAGGTCAGAACTGCAGTCTTCGGTTTTATCCCTTGGATAATGATATTTAGAAGACTATAAGAGAGAAACCTTTGGAGGATAAAAGGCAGTATGTGGAAAATATTTTGAGGATAGTTGATTCTGCTTCATTATAGTTTGGATCATGTAGTTCACTGAATAACATCCCTCCTCTCAAAGGTCACATGCACCTGTCTCCCTGCACCCTCAGAACACGATCTTACTTGGAAATGAGATTAGTTCACGATGAGTTCAGCCTGCATGTAGTGTGGTCCCTAAATCCAATGACTCCTTATTAAAAAATGATGAACACAGAATCTGAGAGTGGAGCCATACAGCCACAGCCACAGCCACGGCCACAGCTAAGGCCAAGGCTTTCCAGATCAAATAGGAAGAAGAAAGGAAAGGTTGACATTTAATTCTGGAATGTTCTATCTTCCAGAACTTCGAGAGATAGCCCATAATTTTAAGTCACCCAGCTAGTGGTCTTTTATTGCTGTAAGTCTGAGGAGACCAACACAACCTGTGATAGGTATTTTTGGGTTGCAATGACGAATACATGACAATAGCAACTTGTAACGAAGGGAGGAGGGTCGTGTTGACTCACGGTTTGAGGGTACAATCCATCTCGGCAGGAAGGCACGGGGCAGGGGCTCAAGGCCGCCGTTCACAGTGTATCCACAGTCCGGAAGCAGGTGGAAGCCAGTGTACTCAACTTGTTTTCTCCTTTTATCCATTTTATTCAGTCCAGAACCCAACCCTGGGACGGGGCCACCCACATCAGGGTGGACCTTCCTTCCTCAGTTGAGCCTCTGTGGAAAGCCCCTCATAGACACACCCAGAGGTCTGTCTCATAGGTGACTCCAAATCCTGTGAAGGTGTCAATCAAGATTAAGTATCACAGCCCTCAGAACTTCCTGGAAAAGAACAGTTATTGACAATTTGCTGGCTCAGGGCCTGGACGGCAAGGAGAGGACCAGGAACTTCCCTCATCGCCTAGGCTGGCTGGCTCTTAAATTCTCTTTCTTCAGACTCTACATCCAGAGTCTTTTCATCTCAACCACAAATATCTTCCTCCATACTTGTCAGAGTGCCCTCAAAAAGATTATCTCATTTGAATCTCCCAGACTTTTTACATTATAAACGGTATTTCCATATTATCCGCGTTTACAGTTCTGTTACGCCCGCCCAAAGCCAAAGCAACAGTCTCCACAGAATGCCTCCTGTCGATTTCCTATAAACTCAACACTCTCCAATCTTCATTGTTTCCCTTCTTCTGTTTCACCCTGGGTCTTCCCATAATGGGCTTTGCCCTTCTGACTCCTTCCCCTCGCTCATTTGCACATTTGGAAGCTCAGACACATCTGCTTTCTCAAGAGCTGCTCTGTTCCTCTCAGCCCACACTGAGATGGCCCAACCCTCCCACTGCCCCACACCTCCTAACCCCCCCCCCCCCCCCCCGTCCCAGTTTTAGGAAGCAGGATCCTGAAGTCCTTAGGCTCAGCAAGCCAGGGGCCCATGCTTCTACTGCCCAGGCTTCCTGGTAGAGACAGCCTGCTCCTGCAAGGGAGCCCAGAGCTGAGAACAGCACCTCCTCTGGACTCATTTTGAAATAGCATGTCTCATGTGGCAGACTCTGAGCTAGGTTTCTGAAGCTGCCAAGAGGACCAGGGGAGAGAGCTCTTGGTGAACTAGTTGTCTCTGTGAGCTAGAAGCCAGGCAGATGTGGGGTGACCGACCTGGGTTTGAACTACAGAACTAGCTGCACAAATGTGCCCGAGAGATGTGTTCTCTCCAATGCTGTTTCTGAAACTATGATAGGAACTGGTTAATACATCTGCCTAGCACAGCCACAGTCCGTGTGGCAGGTTCATGTAAGCATTAAGTCAAAGCATATATACACCTTGGCAGAGTGCCTGGCGTCCAAGGAGTGCTTGCCACGTGCTAATCATAATCACTGTTGTTGGAAACATAAGACAGTCTGCTGCTTCTGCTCTTTGCCCTTCCTTCCCACCCACCCCCAAACTAGCATCTGCAGGCCTCTGACCCGTTGATTTCTTTCTGCTTTTTTGAACTTCGTTTCTGCCTTTCTTTCTTTCTTTCTTTCTTTCTTTTAATTTTAAACATGATTATGGGTGGCAAGGGTGCATGCTGCAGTGTGGGTGTAGAGGTCAGAGGGCATCTTTGTGGGGTCGGTGTCCTTCTTATTCCTTTCTCACTGGCTGGCCATTGTGGTCTCCAGACCTGGGGAGTACGCACGCTCCCACGTCTCTGCCACGCCGTGCATAGTCCCTGAAGTCCACTGTCAGACAGTGATCTCTGCTGTCACCCTGGATACTGCTCCGATCCCTTGTGACTGGCCACAGGGCAGAGCCCAGCCTCCTCCTCTAACTCCCACCATCTCTGTCTTCGAGTGCTACTCTGAACGCTCTTTGCCTCCCACCGCTGCATCCTCCTTGGAGATGCCATCAGACCATAGGGTACCCCAGATGAGGCAAGATGGGCAGCGGGGTTAGTAATCCCAACAACCCTGCCTGTCCCCCACTGCAAGATATGCGCATGTTCTGCTAGGGACCTCCATTTAGCTCTGTGGGTTCCCCTCTTCCCTGGAGGGATTTATTTTACGCTCCCTCCTCTCCTCTCTGTCATCTCCCAAGACACCCTAGGCTTCTCCCTCTGAACACTCATCTTATAAACTGCCATCAGACAGAGCTGAAAATCCCTGCCAAATCACTTGGCCTTCACAAATTCCTTTTAGCTGCTTACCATAATTTAAGCACAGCATAGTGCATGTTACTTTGCTTTTCCCAATCTCTCTTTCCCTTACACTTCAATCCTATCAGTTCCTGGGGCACATTTCATGTCTTACACCATATGGCGCATTCCAGGCAATTAGCAGGGGATGGAATGCACATGTTTAATTCTCTATTCTTATTAACTCATTTGAGAGTCCCTTTTTATTCCTTCCAACCCTATCGCGTTTCCCTCAGATATAGTTAACATTCCTGCCCAGAATTACCATCCTTGTTTTGGGAAAGAGTGTCAGATTCTGTGTTTTCTTTTTAGCTGGCGAGGAATGGGCCATGTGTATGCGTTGGGCTAAGACAAAGATCTGGTGTTTTGTTCCCCTTCGTTTACATTCACCATCTTCGGTCCCCAGTCTTTGTGGACATACCATAAAGATAGGAGAGCAGGGAGCTTAATGGTCCCACTTCGGGGTGGGCGGTCACTTTCCTTTCCTGCTGAAGGGTTAGAAGGTCCCAGTGGTCGCCTCTGAGCATGGGCTTTGTAACTACAGCCATGGGCTTTGATCCCACTGGATTCCTCAGGCCCTGACCACAGGTGTCTGCGGTGACTGTGTGTTCCCCAATTTGAGTCCCCCCCCCATTCTCTTCTTTGTTCCAGTCTCCATTTCTCTCTCATTTCTACACCCCTGTCCCTCTGCCTTGGGGGCCTTCTTTTCTATTTTAAATGGATAATTCATTTGTTGTACAAGGACTATTAGCTCCACCTGGCAAAACACCATCCGCTAGAAAAAGGTGAGAAAGAATAACAGAGGACCTCTTTAAAATGGGCTTGGGGGTGTATGTGTGCGTGCGCATCTGTGTGTGCGTGTGTGTGTGTGCGTGTGTGTGTGCATGTATGTGTGTGCATCTGTGCGTGCCTGAGTGTGTGTGTATCTATGCGTGTGTGTGTGTGTGTGTGTATGTTTGCATGTGGTGTGTGT